CCCCAAAACCCCAAAACCCCAAAACCCCAAAACCCCAGAAAGTGGCTAATTTGGTTTAAACTTTCATGAAATATAGCTTAACTCTTTGTGAGTTAGAGTGCTTCTGTTTACTAAAATCCCCGTTGTTTAGCCACACCTCATACTTCGTCTTATGCCTTTCTGAGTCATAAGCACTGATGACGGTGTCTATCTTATTTAGAAGGATGTTTTTCTTCTGGTTCATTGAACCTAAATAGCTGCTGAATAGGTAGTTATTGTCGCTCTTGTCACTACAGTTGAGAGAACTAACAACTGTATCGATGTTGTTGTCTATCTGCTCAAAGCATTTCTCCTCTTCCTCTTCTAGCTTATGTACCTTCTTCTCCCAAGAATTAATGTCTAGTGGGTCATTCAGGATAGAGCATTTTTCTACGTGCAGAAATTGGTAGTGACAGTAGTTAATCCAGCAATTAGTGCAAGTGTTAGCGGAAGTCACTGTTTTAGACTCGTATTTACTATTACGGGTTGTGTTCTTATTCTATAGAGATTGCAGCAGACTTACTTCTTTCAAGGATTTTCTAGTGCTACGGGTATTTTGGAGGGCGGTACTGATAGGCTTTACAAAGTGATCTCCAAGACAGTTTTCTTCAGCATCAGATTTGTCACATTTTTCGATTAAGTGAGCAATTTGTATAAGAAAGGGAACATTAAACCATGCTGAAAGTTTTTGTTTACCAATTTGGATATTGACTTCAAAATCTCCGCCCAAATCTGGATTATTTTTGGGAACAAAGGTTGAGCTATTTCCTGAGGCACCTTTAAACAAAATAAGTTATACGAAAGCAAAGAATGTTGGTTATCAAGTACTATAACTCCTCTTACCAAAAGTCCACGAGCTTGCATCTTCTTCAACATGTTCCTCATCATCGACTTCTTCTGGATTGTGGTAGCCATGTTTCTTCTATAAATCTTAGTCAGACACCTAAAATTAGCGACTAAAGCTTCAATTTTACCTTCTTGGAGTCCTTTGGAACCGCAGTAGCGTTCAAGTTATAGCTCTTCTCATGAACAAGCTTCACCTTGATGCTCTTAGGGTTCTTGTACCCTACACAGGTGATCTTGTAGAGCTTGATCTTTATGCCAGAGAAATCTTCATGTGGCAGATTCCTGATCTTTAGTGGAGCCAGCAATGGCAGGTTCTTGGACGTTTTCTATAAAGATATCAAAGTCATATCTTACAACAATATCTTCCAAACTGTACATCTCAAGCTTGGAAAACACAGCTTTATGAAAGTTGTAAGGTGGGTCTTCTATTTTTACTTTATTATTTTCTTGACTATCTGCATATCTTGAGCTATAGCTTATCTATAAAGAAGTGAGATCTAGGAATTAGTACCTCGTTATGAGAGTCATCTATTAGCTTCTTCTCTTCCTCTTCTTCATCAACACCAGGGACTTGGAGATGAGAACCAAACTTTTCAAGCTGTTTACTTTCAGAACTAGTCTTTCTTCTCAAAGTAGAAATCTCCTTTTGTGAAGTATGGTTTGCATCAATTTTAGCTTCATGTCTTATATCCCAATAAGGCTGTAAAGAAAACTTGTTGAAGAGGTATAATGTGTAGAGCCTGAGGAATCTGATTTGACTCTGAATAGTGATCCCTTTACCATTCTTGGTTCTTTTCCTTGCATAAAAATCCTATGAATCAGTTGGTAAACTTACCATAATCTCATTACAAAAATCAAGAAGATACTCTAGATTGTCGTTGTATTTTTTCAGGATTACATTGTTTATGTCAGCTGGGCTGATCCTTAGCCGATCAAGCTCGGCTTTTGTGACCTTTCCAGGATGATCCTTGTCACTCACTATAGTGTTACTAAACCCCATTTGGAGAACCAGCCTTATTAAACTTTACTTGAATATTTTAGGGAAATTTCATCATGATCATCATAGTTATTTTGAATCGCCCTTGTCAAAAGGATAATCTGGGTCATGGAGAGAAGGATCAAATCCTAGGAAGACTAGCAATGAACATATCATTACCCCAGTTCTTCCCTTCCCAGCCTTTCAATGAACAGCAATAGCATTGTTGTTACTAGGACTTGTTGATAGATAAAGTGAAGCATCAATATCAAATTCAAACATAGAGCTAAATTTGTGAGGCTCATGGTCGAGACATGGAAATTCGCAGAGACAGCTAGTCACATCTTTCGACCTGAAGTCCTCATATGCATTGCATTCAAAGTCTTTCTGGTATCCATCATCAATCCTGAAGCCCTTCTCAATACAGAGGTTATAGATTTTCACCTTTCCATTATGTTTCTTTTTAAAAAATTCTACGATTTTAGGCCGATGGTTTCTCCAAAAGTTTGTCTTAGCATTCTCAGGATATGCCATAGCAATAATCCTACTAGTAATATAAGACATATCAAAGTTGAAGTCCACCTTAGAAGTTAGTATCTCCACTCTTCTCTTCTTCTTACTCACCAACCGATGAATCAAGAAACATGAGCATCATTGAAAGTTCAGGCATGCTTTGGTACTTCATCTCAGGCTGAGTCCAAGCTTATCAAACTTCTTAAAGCATGCTTTCTTGCCTTTAGTTTTTCTCATATTTTGATTAGGAAGTTTGACTTGGTCTTCATCTTTAAAGACTTGACCGAAAATCATCTCAGAGTTCTTCACAGCATTAGGAATCTTATTGGTCATATTAAGCCTAGATATAAAAATGTGATTTACTTTAGTCTTTCATACTCGATTACATTCTTGAAACCACGCTTGTTCTTGTTGCCACCGTAGAAATCCTCGTATTTCTCATCCTCGACTGAACTTTTGTTGCCCATCTTTTAATTTTATAAAGATTGATCAGGGCAGGGGTTTTGGGGTTTTGGGGTTTTGGGGTTTTGGGG